ACTCGCTTATTCCGAAATTTCACTTCCAATCAACGAAAAAAAGCTCGAGAGAAGTCCCGGAAAAGGTCAGACATAGTACAATTTAGCAGATAGCGTGACAGCTTTAGCTCAGCTCTATGCTCTATACTCTCATAGAGCACGCTCTTTCAACCAATGACAGCACACGTTATATCTGAACTTTACTATAATATAAATTACTATTTATATGTTTGGCCGTCGCCACACTAACGTGTGCTCTTGCGCGATATTTAACTTGTCTAGATCGTGGCAGCTATATTAAGCTATTTAATCGTGACATCTGCTCAAGGATATTACGTTCTTTCATCATAAGTTAATTAAATGCGTTTCTTTTAAGTTATCAAAAGCCATTGATGTACTTGTTTGCCTAACGCGCACCTTAGATATTTTCGAGATATTTCGAGGAAGTTCTCGAAACGTAAACACACGCATGCAATAACTACGCACGTGCGGTGTTCCGTTCGCGTGCGCTGTCTTTTGCAATGGACTAAGAGTACACGTGCAGCTTAGTTGCACATAGGCAATATTCATTAACAAACCTGAACGACTGGCACAATATGGTCGATCTCAAAGGGCATTTCTAAGCTACTGACTAGCTACAACCAAGGACTTATGTTTCTTTTCTAGATTCTTACAGTGAGCGTCTCTAAATTTCTTAGTTGTGTGTAAAGAAAGAACATGTGAACATGTAATGTTAGACTAACTCGGCACTCACGGTCAACTTTATCTGTTTTTAAAGCTAACACATATGGGGAGCTATTTGTGCCAAAAATATCAATCGCTAGTGGTAAAAATCAATCGTTACTGCCAAAATTTCAATCGCTTGTGATAAATCTCGATCGGTACAGCTAAAATATTAATCGCTATTTTGGCACTAACGATTGAGTTTTGTCGCTGCGATTAATATTTTTGGCACAAATGGCTCCCCATAAACACATCCTCGTCTACCTCGTTTTGCGATCGACTATGTTTTCCTTCTATTGTTTTCCCAGATCACGTATCTGTTTGCGTTTTGGTTTTCTTATCGAGAGCCATTTTTATCAACATCAGATGCCAAGAATCATCAAAACTGATAGAGCTGTCTTTTTAAGCAACGTGCCAATTTTACAAAGAATATGAAGGACGGAAACATAATGTTCTTTAACATGTCTACAGGAGAGGAAAAGTTTGCTTTTTATGTATTCATGTCTACAAGAGACATGAATAATTCAATCATTTCTTCACAATCCAAATGAATCTGACAACTGTTTGCATCGTTTAAAATCGAAGAGAAAAAATATGGTATATTTTCTTTTTTTTCTCCCCACTGACTTTTAAAGAGTACCGCCCCCACATGACGGCTACATCAGAGGGTTAAGGTAGCGATACAGTAAAATTACGTGATCGCAAACAAGATTTTAAGTTGGTTTCCACAGTTATGTGAATGTGGGGGAGATTATACTTCACTATAAATACATGTGAACTGCGGATAAAGAAATGAATATGGAAGCGGTCTTCGTAGTAATGAACACTACTTAAGCAATGGTGAAAATAAGGCCTGAAAAAGGAAAATAACAAAAAAAATTCAGGCATGTACGGAATTTAAACCTTCGCGATACCGATGAATCGCTCTTCTAACTAAGTTAACAAGCCACCGGCAGCTGATCATTCTGTTGGTTCGAAATAAACCGGTGAAATGATAAATAAATGGCTGTAAATATATAATGTAAACTCATACTGCTGGTACGAACTCAAATCAAGTCTAACCGGCTGGAAGTTTTTTCAGCTGAAATTTTACCCAAGAGGACAGTGTTTTCCGCCTTCTGGGTTAACAAAAACACATGAATGAAGACGGTGCTAAAGAAGGTCCCCGAGAATCTTTCACCTTAGAAAATTGGTCAGTGGTCGAGGCGGGAGGTCATGCTTCAATTCATTTGAACACGAGTAATAAGATTCGTTGGCAAGGCCGGCAACCGAAGTGGCTTTTCACCTATTGGTGTTCATGATGTCGAAACTTGCGCATCTCGTATAGCTTTTCGCCGTCTAAAAAAAGACTCAAGTATTAAACTTGAAACCGTTTTGAGATTTTTACTTCAGAACGCCTGGCCGCTTTATGGGCTATTTCGTCGCCAAGCCTGGCTGCGAAAGGAATGGGAAAGAGAAAATTTCACCATTTTCATCGAGAACCCAAACGTCCTTGAGCCCCGCAGCCTTCCTTATACTCTGCGGCATTGCTCTTGAAAACTGAAGCCAACTTCCCGCAAAGGAAATGCAAGACTTATTTAATCACGCCTTAGTCTCGCGCTCGTTCTTGCGTCCAATAGGCTGTTCATTGGTGTGAATTTAATTTAAGTTCTTACTAGCTCTTAGAGGAGTACTTCAATGAAAAGCTCCCTAACTGAAATTTATGAGGATGGAAAAGGGTTTATACCAGACGCGTGATTGAGCCGGGCCAAAACTATAATGTTATGCGCGAATTTTACAGAAGGGCGAACGTGATTCATAAATTCATAAACTGACTTCTCGAGTTCCCTGAAACTCCGTTTTCCTTTTAAATTCGTGATGTGCGAAAGTGTTTAAAGTACGAGTCACGCGTGAATTTTTCTAAAAAATCCGTACGTGAAACGGAATCGGGTCCTCGACTTTACAACCCTCTTTTAATCAAAGTAGTTGCAGTGTTTTAACTGATAGTGTATATAGTGTCTATAAAGCGACATCGGAAATGATGAATCTAAAAAACAAAATTTAACAAATTGTAACAAAAAAGTCTTTCATTACCTGAAAAACGCCTACTTGAAGCGTTCAATGCGAAGAGTTGGCTCAAATATCTTCACCAGAGCCACGTAAATTGGATAAACGATTGAGAAAACGAGACTAAGACAGCCATAGCGACACAATGACTCAGTAGGACGTGTCTCTTTTTAGTGCGACTGTGCATGGCTAGCTTTAAAGCCAACGATATATAATGCCTCCAACGGCCGTGACAAATTCTTTAGAAGTAGGTTAGAGCACCTTAGCAACAGTAACAAAAGCAAAATTATTTGAGTGAAATGTGCTAAATTAAAAAACTTTCTAACCATCGGAACAATAGCGGCCACCCAGCTGGCGAGAATGGTTTTTAATCGTCTGCTGTCACTCTGATATCAAAGTAATTAAGACATTTCAACACCAACGCAACTCTTCTCTTTTACCATAAAACCTGTTATGATCTATAATTTGAATCAGTTTGTAATCCTTGATTCAATTTGCACCGGTAAATTTAATCGAAACGATGTGATCCTCATCGTAGTACATACATGTATTCATCAAAGACATATTTTGTTTTAACTCACTTGGAAGATAAGTTTGAAAAATGAGCAAAAGAGATGTCTCGAAAAATAAAAATTTTTATAAAACATACCTTTCGGCTGACTGACGATTTGGAGGCGGATTTTGCATTAGTGTATATCAGAGCTAGAATTTTGCGCCTTTCTTAGTCGGCCACCAAATGTAAACAACGGTCGAATTTTAATCAATTATTGCTTAGATCTTCCTTAGAAAGAAATTTAAAAGCTAATGGTTTGTCAACATAAAAAAAAAAAAAAAAACGGCTGAGTAATTTGTCAAAAAAAAAAACAGTAATGGTTGAGCCGGTTTGACAACGTTTTAAGGGAAGAAGTGCCGAATAACTGAAGATACTAATCAGAATGATTTAATTAATTTTAAAACTCTCCCTTCTGTTAGCTGTGAAAGCTTTGTCAATTAAAAAGAATTTCTACGGCAAATGTCGCTCTGAACTCCAAAGAATCACATTTTTCAGTAGATCATAGCAGTAAAGGCGATTAATATAAATCCAATTCGCAAATTGAAAATTGAATTGATTCTTCGTGGAGGGGGGGACAGCAGGTAGATGTATTGGTTGAGGGGTAAAAACAGACCCCCTGTGTAATTTTACTAAACCCTGTGAACCCTATCCAGCTCAGAGCCTCAATGGCCGTGTTCGTTTTTCCGCTGGAATTATTTTTCCCGGCCTTATTCTATTAAATATGATTTTCTGGGGGTTAAGTGTTGGCAATCACTGTATAATAAAACCTGAAATCAGCCCATGATACGTTTTCAGAATCTAACGCCTAAGCGTAATTCTCATAAACCGGAACAATACTAAAAACACGTGGCATTATTAGTTGAAGACACATTTAGAAACACTCACTAATAGTAAGCCTTAAATACAGCAATTTAACAGAATCATAAAACTTTTTGTACTGCCATTGCGTTTCGTGCAAATTTGATTGGTTAAGTGTAATGCGGTTCATCTGCTGTTACCATATTGAAAGAAGCTTTTATTATGGAATGTCCCGTGAAGGTAAACTAAAAAAATAAATAAAAAACGCTCAGCCCAGTTAAAATCAATAAACAAAAAGGAAAAAAGTTTTCGGCGCAAAACGATTTTGAAGACGAACCCCTCAGGAATGAAATTGTGCAGAATTTTTGTCTGTGGTCAGATTTGATAGCCGATTATTTGGCTCAAAGTCGCACTTCAATCGATTTTCCCACTAAGTCATGCAAAAACGGGAACATTTTAGGCCGGATAGCGCATTTCATAACCTTTCCATTTATACATAGTTTATGGTGGTTATGCTTTAAATAGCGCGTAAAAATTTTCTTTCCTTCGCGAAGGACACCTGCGAAGGTCTACCTTATCCTTATATGCTCAATTACGAATCAAAATTTCTAACATTCGATAACTCCGAACACCACGACTACAATTTGTCACTGAGAGGAAAGTGGTTTATATGTTGTGTCAATAGCTTCGGCTGAAGTCCTGTTAGTTACAACATGGAATCCCAACAGTTTGGCATTGAACTTCTTTGGCAACGTCTCCTGTCTGGTCTTTCCTTTTTTTTTTTTTTTCTTTTAAGATGTTTAATAGCGTAAGTATATTTTGTTGTAATCTCCAAAATCTACGGAGAGACAAAAAGGCTCCAAAAAACATAGGACTTGTAAGACATTAGCACAAGGATCAAATTTCATGTAATTCAAATGAAGGTGTGACTGAAACAAAAGGTGTATACTACTTGAATGTTCAAACTTAAATGATCTAACTAGTTTTTGTCGCTATACCGACTGATGCAGCGCGAAAGGTAGCTTTCAGGAATTTTGACTGCAAAATTGCAAAGTAACTATTATAAAAGGAAAAATAGTATCCACAGCAATTTATCACTATATTACGAAAACAAGAACTTATCACCAAGAAAGCATTTCGTAAGCGTAAAAAAGACCTTGCTTTGTAAACACCAACATCCATTGGTTTGCTGCAGAAAGACCAAAACTTTCTACGCAGTAAAAGTCTTTACATGAGATAAAAACAAAACACAACCAAACCGCTTGCGACAATTATAATACTGTGTAACTGGTTGTGCATCATTCTGGTTAGTTTTGAGACGTCACTGTCTGCTGCCGCATTTGTGCCAAAAGCTTCTCTTGTCTAATGAGTAGTTCCTTGATGCGTGCTTCCCGATCTAACGCGGAAGAGAAACAGGGCTCCTCAGCGCTTAAAAGAGAAGCAATTGGCCGACCGGTGAAAACGCAAATCTTTTCAGTTGGTTTTTCACGATAGAGGTCGTTGAAATCTTGAGCAGCATTGGGTACATTCCCAGTACTTTGCATGGGTTTGCCAGAGCTACACGTTTCTTTACTCGCTCTGTCTGCTCCGACCCCTAAGTTCGTCGGTGAGGAAACTGACCATACACCTGAGATCAAAAGTAAAAACAAATTGTTCGATATTTAGGCACAACGTGTGAGTGACGAATGGACGAATGTCACCCGGAATCTAATAATCATTGGTTTTACTTCATCACGTTCTGAGAGTGATAAAACAGAAGCTACAAAAAAAGAAACACTTGCGACACCGTCTCAGTTGCAAACTGGAAATAGCTGCAACATCGACACTAAGTCACTAGCGTTTCCCCGCGCTTGAAGCTTTTTGTATGTGTTTCCCTTTTCAATATAGTTCTCATTTCTCCTTTGTGTTCTCCACACACATTTGATCGGCAACTTCACTGGGTCAGGCATAAGTGTAACACCACTCCATTCAAATACACTCCATGCACGATTAATTTTCATAGTCTTAATTTCAGTTTCCCCGCTTTCAAATATTTTTGTTGTTTTCGACAGACACTACTGCAAATGACTCGCCGGACTCACAGAAATAATCTTGAAAAAGGGCTAGCGTTTGAAAGGATATTTCCACAAAAGTTCAAGCGCTACGCTCGAAATATTAAATCACCATACTGAGAGCCCTTGATCCCATGCAACACTATCTATACACACTAACAATTACACACACACGTTCTCTGCCTTTTATCATTACCTCCGGTCCTCTTGAAGACTATTTTTGTCCCTCTATGTGATACTCGATGAGACCCCATGCTTTCAGGAAGAACACACGCTTCAGATAGGTCTCTCTTCTCGAGAGAAACTTTAGATATACTCTGGACTTCCTTTTCAGGAGGAAGTTCTGTATTGCATTGAACTGCCACCACACTCTTCTTTTCCTTTTCAGTAGAAACTACTGGTGACCTCTGTTCTTCCCTTTCAGCGCAACTACCTTCACAACCCTTCACTTCCTCTTCAAAGGAAGCCACTATTGAACTTTGTTCATCCTTTACTGCAGCAACCGCTGTTGCACTCTGCTGTCCTTTCCCAAAAGAAACTACTGGTTTGCATAGGTCACGTCTAGAAGAAAGTATTGAAGTACACCCATCCTTGTGAACGGGAGAGGCCACTGATGTGCACCGCTGAGGGGACAGCTCTGGAGTTATTTCATCAGCACTTAGCGTTTCTTCACTACAGTTGCTAAGGAGGTCAAAATCAAAATTTCCTCTGCCTGGATTGAGCTTCCTTGGAAATGACTTCCGTGGCCGTTTGCGAGGTATTAGGCAGTCAGTTTGACGTTTCTTTGCGTCACATCCAAGCGGATTTATTTCTAATAACTTGACACTACCAAAGGAGGATTTTGGATTCTTTTTGTCTGCCTCTGAACGATCAGCAATTCCAATATCTTTGCCGACGGGGAAATCATGAGTTTTCATGGAAGAGGTAGGTGTATTTTCAGTTTTGACGCTTTCATCTGCTTTTCGTTGACGACAGTCATTGCCAGATGATGCTTTCAAATCCTTGTCTGTAAAAAGCTTTGAATTCTTGTCAGTATAAAACTCAAAAGAGTATTTCTGAGTATCGGCCAACACACCAACATTACGCCATTCAAGGGTCTCTAACTTGTCATTATTCTGCTTCCCGAGGTCAGAAGCTGTAAAAGAATTTGCGCTTAAATTAACCGAAGAGGACCATGTTTCAGATGGTGGGATCAATTCTGCAACAGCCGCTGAGCACTTGAAATTGTCTTCATTCTTGTTAAGCAACAAGTGACGTATTAGTGACTTGCCTGCTTGATTATCGCCTGTGGCAATCTTGTCACAGCTTAACCTGTATTTCGTATCGGAGTTATCGTGGTGGTTTACCAACGTCCCATTATATGGTGATCTCTTGTCATAAAATTCCCTTACGGCCGAAGTTGAGGATATCGAATTGTAAGCTCGTGAATTACCTTGAATGAAATGCTCCAAACCAAACTCCGTCAACTGCAAAATAATAATATAAATACGTCTAAAGAGGAATCAATTTTTTAAGGTCCTAAGTCCAGAGTATCACTTAAGATTGTAGCAAGGCTGGTACATTACGGCAATAAACAGACTCACCGAAACTCCTTTCACGTTTGTAACCGACTCTAAATGTTCTTTCAGATCAATATATGATCTCTGGCTGGTTAATTCCCCAAGTCCTTCTGAGCTGCTTCTGATTCCAATTAAAATCGAGCGCCAGTTCTTGATCATCGACTCCACCGTGGAACATTGTGGCTTTTCTGCATGGTTGACCCCTGAATTCATTCTTTCATGTGCTGAAAAGTGCACAGCAAGAAGTTTTGGCATGCTATCATGGTCATATGCCACACCTCCATACATATTCACAAGATCCTTATCATCAACGCGCTTATCACAACACTCACTGTGAGTAGCTAATTCCATATCCTCGGAGCCTCCACTCCTACAAGAAACAAATCCCATTACGTCACTCTCAGATGGATCACTACCCTTAACATGTCATTATAGAAGTTAAGGTTGCTGTCAACAAAATATTACATCGATTTTGAAATCGCAAAATTCAGTCGCTCAATACAAGTTTTTATAGTCTGAGTGGACAAATATTTTATTGCTGCTGTATATTGAGCTGATTTTTAAAAAGTTGCAAAAGTTGTCTCTAATTTTCCTGCAATTTGATAGATTTATTTAAACAGGCCTTGAAATTTGATTGATTGTGGTGTGTTAGTAGAGTTGTTTTATTGGCTAAGAAATAGATGCGATTTAGAGCATAAAATGGTGCAATTTATTCATAAATTGCACTGGTGAGAGCCAATTAGATCAGATCACGAGTGATTTCAAATTAAATTCAATAAAAATCAAAATCTTCTGTTGCACAATCTACACAAAAAATAATATTCACAAGGCAAAAGAATTTCCAAAATTAGCGAAGCTCCACTTTTGTCAGCAAATGCAGTTTTCATTTTCCATCCATAATTCGCATCGCGTTTGGGAATCGTAATATAATTCGCTCGAAAGCTCTTTCCATCGCTTTTAGCCCATTCACCCCTAATAATGATTAGCATCTAAATTCTCTTTATAACATCACGCTAAATTACACATTAAGGTAACAAGAATAAGGAAATGATCATCAACTTTAGAAACTCTTGATTTTTAAACAAATTCTCCTTGTCAGCGCCTTAGGAAATGTATAGAGAACAGTATGGAGAATATATATGCTGATGTTAGGGTGTAAAGGGTTAAGAGTTAAAAGACCATCGCTTGAAACGGAATAGATTAACTTTCATGGAACGGATAAATCATCTTGAAAATCTCAAACTCGCGACCTAACCGGTCGGGAAGCGGAGGGAAATTTCAGTCGCGAGGCATTTGTTTGTTAGCGTCATTAGCGCGCACAACAGGATTATGAAGCACACTCGCTCTATTGGATGCCTTAATTTGCCAGCTATGTTATGAATACATTTTATATCTGCATGCTATCCCCGGTTTTCAAATCATGATGTTCTCACATGACTTCAAAGGACATGCAGAACCACAGTTTACTCCCTCAATTGCATAAAACGCTGACACCTAAAAAGCACGATCCCTGGCCGATGAGAACCAACAGCTTTATGGGAAACGTTCGTTCAGATCCATGGACATAATCAGGAATTAATTTTTTTCACTACATATGAAATCCTTTGCTATTATAATTCTTTCTCCCAGGAAAACATAGATAGCTTCCATCCATCATTCACCACAAGCTAATGATGGTGATAATGTGTACGTTTGTACTCAGGGAGACTCTTTTTTTTAAGTGTCAGTTGAGTGTATACAAAACATCCATGGTGCATCCAGTAGGCATTAAAATGATGGTAATTCTTTCTGTATCTCATATGCAAATCATGAATGACGAGATTTGTCAATAACTGAATAATAAGAGTACTAATAAGGTGGCCAGAAGGTCAGTGGGCAGATTTTTATCATTCGTGCAGTGGATCATCTGAAGAATAGAGATTGTTTGCAGTCAACAGCAACTTTAAAAGTCAGCCCTCAGTCCTTTGTACCCCCCTAATAGTCATGTCAACATTTATCATATCAACCCTTTGACCCCCTATGAGTGACCAGCATCAAATTTTCCATACAACATAATCCCTGCATCAAAAATTAAGGTCATAAGAATAAAGGAAAGGATCACCAGCTAAGGAGGCTCTTGATTGTTAAACAAATTCTCCATGTCATAGCCAAAGGAAATGTATAAAGAAGAGTTTGGAGAATATGGATGCTGATGTTAGGATGTGAAGGGGTTGAGATAAACCCACTATAAATGTCAATAAGTTTACAGCAGGTTGGTAAATGGCAAGAGTAATTTGAAATATTTTCAATTTCCAAATTGATTTTACAAAAATAATTCCCAGCAGCTGTTCTTAATATAATGCAATTTGTACTTTTGACCAACACTAAAACTATTTTGACAATTTTCTTGTAAGAACCGCATCTTTATACAACCTTCATCTAAACACATAGGAAAATCAAAGCTGTGAACTTGTGGGGCCATCCAAAGAAACTAAAAACTGACAGAAACTATAAAAAAATTCAAAAACTTAACACTAAGTTTGAGGAAAGTTTCCATTTAAACTAGTATATGAATATTATCATAACATGACATAGTAGTATATAATATTCTTAAGTGGGTTGGTCAATGTTTGATGGGTTTAAACATTTACATCAAAAATCCTCAAAGTATCACATTTTGTCATATTTTTCATTAAAGAACTACACTATAAAAATCTTATTTTCATTTCTTTTGATGATTGGCTGTTTGCTTGCTTGTTTGTAAAATGTGGAATTACCACTCAGCAGACTTGGCATGTGAATAAATTGTCACAAATACAAAGATGTTTCACATACCGGTAAAGGTCATCAAGACCCAACATTTACAAAAGAAAGCTCTGACACATGAATCTGGGCCAAACAAAAGTAAAGAATTTTGAGAGGTCAGCCACAATTAGTCAATTAAAACCAACAGACTGTATCAGAGTCTTATCACCCTTTGACTCCTAAGAATGACTAGCATCTAATTTCTCCTTACAATATCACCCCTGAATGATTGAATCACACATTAAGGTCACGAGGGTAAAGGAAATAATCACCAACCAAAGAAGCTCTTCATTCTTAAACAAATTTCCTTGTCAGCACCTTAGGAAATGTATAGAGAACAGCATGATAGTGTAAAGGGTTAATACAGTCACCAACTTAGCAGAAAATCTGACTCATCAGATTCAGGGGTTTCAAAATGTTTTGGAGAAGGTGTCAGAGTTGGCAAAAGTAGGTGACAATGAAAAGTTTATTATGAGCCAAAGGTAAATATTTTGGCCTAAGTAACTGGTGACATGTTATCAGGTAGCCAGCAGCAGCCACCTGCTTGTTTTCAAACCCCTGCTGATTTGTACTCTCCACTTGACAAATAACTCTTCAGTCACTCTTCAGATAATTTCCACTCAGGTTGTGCAACAAAATGTCATTCACCGCCACAGACCCAACATAAGTCCTTTTCAAGACTATATTCAACCAGACAGAATAACAAGATATAGTACCAATGCTTTCAATAACAGTGAGCGATAAAAAAATTTTTTGCTCTTAAATAGAACCTGCTGCACTGAGTTTTTTTTCTCAGTTGTATTGATTTCTACAAATTCATTCATTCCTTGTAGTTTTAGAAACTGAGAGTTCCCATTGTCACATAAATCTTTCATGAAATATCAATATAATCTCAGGAACAAGAGCATTATGTAGTTACATAATAGTATCTTAAAATATTGTTTTGACCACATTAACTGGTTCTATCCTTACTTCACAGAGAGTAGATACTACAAGTTAACCACAACACAATTGCAACTGCAAACAACAGTAGCTTTGAAAGCAAAATAATGCTGGTGTTGCAAGTAATGTTGTCGTGCAAATATGTCAATAATGTATCTTTTGTTGGTCTTGTCACAAATATCAGTATCATGCTTAAGTTATAGTAATCAAGAAAAAGTGTTCTTTCAGAAAAAAGAAAATCACCAATTGTGTTAATATCCAGACAACTTCATTGCCAAACATCTCAGTATTAACCCGGGTATCGTTGGGAATGAAGTTAAGGCTGTCTTCTATCGTTCTGTTTGCTGTAAACAGTGTTGGCCTTTAGTGGAAAAATACCATTCGAATTTGGTTAAAAGGCTCTCCACATCCCTGAGATTTTATAAAACTTGACGCTGATTCAATGATTTGGGCAAAACACACTTAACAATATGTTCTACCATCATGCTATCCCATTGTGGTCGCGCAGACATATTGTTCATTGCGTACTCGATATGCAGCGACATGTGTTCAAGTTGTTGTAGCTCAGAGACTGATGTTTATGAGTACTAACGCCACCATTCGTGATACAGACTTTAAAATCTCTAATCGCGTCACTTACCGTTCAGCTGTAGCGATGTTTTGCCAGTATGAAACGAACGACTATAGTTCACACCGTGCTGTGAAGCACTGCAACGCTCTGTCACCGTTCCTTCGACCTGATATGTCACAAGGTCACCACAGATATCGTTATGTCCCTCCCTAGTTCGGTTACTCAAGAAAAATATTTACCCAAGCGTTTAAAATTGTGCTTAAACGAAGGCAAAATGCATGAAATTACTCTAAAGAACTCTTTTAAAATGCAAAGCTTTTGTTTGGCGGGAAAACGATGTCACGCGTGGAGGATAAGCAGTCACGTGATATCCGGACTAGAATCATCAGATATTGTCCTTTGTTAAACGTAAATGAAGGCCAGAATTGCACGATTAACCTCTAGTTTTTGGGGTCATCTTTCCAGGGTCCCAGTGGCAAAGGTGTTTTGCATAGCTACTGATCTTGACCTTTTGTTTAAACCACTGAACATAAGGATCGAATCGGGAAGGAAACTTATTTCAATAGGCCTTATTGTCAGAAATGTCAGAGCTCCGGAAATACATTACGCACGTTCATGTTCGTTTACTATTATTAAGTCGTATATATCCATACTTGGTGTCGCTGATATTATTGTCCATCGCATTAGTGAAAATCAGCCGAACCGAAACGAAGTACCTTAAATGTCGGGCTAACCACCAAAGGAAGTAATGAATTTTTTATCGAACTGATTCGTTCTGTATAATTAAAAACCAAATTTTCCACCTTCAGAAATGCCGTCGAAGATCGGGCTAGAGGTTATATCCGAGCCCATCGTTAGAAAGTTATGGACCTCCCATACAGGGACGTGGCAGGGATTTTTACATGGCACTTCCTACACCATCATATTACTGAAGTTTGCGACATGCCAGGTTATTTTATTACGATAATTAAATTATCACTTTTCTTCGCAAGATGAAAGGTTCCGTGCATCCTTAGACCCTCTAACCCTGTGACCCAACTCCTTGGCTTCGACCTTGTTACACCGCAAGACAAGTGCACTTGACAGTTCTACGAAAATTGTATTTTACTTCAATCTAACTAAGATGACATAGTTTCACATTCCCTTCACAATCTCTTTAGGCGTTGAGATATCTTGCATGATGTCTGATATGATCCTCGACAAAAGATGCAATAAAGTAATAACTATGATTGTAGCCCTGTGGAAAGAAAAAAAAACAGTCTTCATTACAAACTCAAAAGTAGCAATACCTGTTCGCAAAGTAAGATATCAGATTTTTACAGTCTTCTCCATCTAACCAGCTAATTATGGGCATCAAAACATTGTGTCGATGAAGTTAATGTACCTCATGCAATCTCAAGGTCACTGGTACATTCTTTGACCTACAAGCCTCAACAAAGTTCTCTGGAAGCAGTTGAGATGGGTAAAATTCATCAGCTACACCCTACAGAGAAAAAAAAAGGGACCATTCAAGAACTGAATCATAATGCACACTTTTTAACTAACCCTTTACCCCTAAGAGTGACCAACATCTAATTTCTTCTTGCACCATCACCCCTGAATGACACACGAAGAAGATCACAGGAACAGAGGAAATGATCACCAACCCTAGAAGCTCTTGATTATTGAACAAATTGAACAAAGTGTATAGAGAACAGTATGGAGAATATGCATGCAAATGTCAGGATGCAGAGGGTTAAGATAGTAAAACACCATTCCTTAGAGCTGGCCTGTAAAACTGACTCTAATTGCTTCTAGAATTGTGGTGAGAATGCTGACACACTGCAAGTTATCCATTAGTAATTTCTCAGATTTCCAAAACAGTTTGCCACCACCGTTTTACACTCTTGAATGGAGCAAAGCTATGAGATTTAAGCTTCTTGGCCAAGAGCCCATTTCAATGACCCTTTAGGGGCTAAAACCCAGACATTCTGACCTGAGTCAAGCTTAGGACCCTTTAGGCCACCACAACCTTCACAACCATAAAATTCAAGAGGATCAAATTGTTTTAACTTTTGCTCCACACAAACAATAACAATAACCAAGAGACAAAACAAAAGATTGCAGCAGGAAGAATTTCACTTTTACATGTATTTTTATTTTCATTTTAGACATAACCCCACAGGCAATTAACCCTAATTATCTACATCATATAAAAACTTTTTTAGAATCAGTTAATGATAATTTTCAATTGATACCTGATCAATGAGTATGTCTGGTGGAGGACCATCATAACCTTTCACTAGTTCAGTGGCATCGTACTCCTAACAAATAAGAGGATATAACACATTCAACCCTTTAACTCACAGAAGTGATAAACATGTAACTTCTCCCTGCAATATCTAAACATTGTCCAGCAAACAAGAGATGAGAATACTCAAACTAATCAGGTAGAAGTTGTTATCTTGATCTAACACCAAAGTCTTGTAACTTATTTACAAGGAAATGTGTAGCAGTTAGAGGGGAGAATTTACAATCAGATCTCATAGAGGCAGTTAAAGAATTAAACATTTTAAAAGAAATACATCTGTCAACTGATGTTTAAACTCTTGGCCAAACCAGTAACAAATTCAATATCTTTCATTTGTAAAGAGACATAATTATTTATCATTTACAGGATTGCTGCAGTTTTTGAGTCACATGCTATATGCTGTACTTTTTTAATCCCCAAATTCCGATAAATGGCCAATGTTTAACTTCTCCTTATAATATCCATATGTCATCTTGCAAATATGTGATGAGATTAAAAAAAACTGATCAGCTAGCTGCAGGTGTTAACAAAGAGGACATCAAATTCTCTATGTAAAACATCTCATCAAAATGTAGCACAGGGAACAGGGAGAATCTTGACAGTTTAAGGGTAAGCTATACGATAGTGGAATCCAGGGTTACCTTCCATGCCTCCTGGTTGCCTCCCAAATATCCAGTGAAGGCTTTCTGTCCCCAAGCCCCTTGCACTGGGTTGCAGATAGGTGCAAAGGCTGAAACAGACTGTGAAGAGAAAGGAGATTGAACAATAATTCTATTGTTTTAAAATGTTAACATGTAAAGTTAACATTTTGTCAAGAAAAAGCAGTTGGCAGCCGTAGACCTTGGTCAGCTACACAACTAATTCCCTTTCTTTTCCCTAGCCACTACATTCAATTTCAATTTCCCAAGAACTTGTAAGTATTTCATATTTTGTGATTTACCCATTTCCCTGAAATTTCTTTAAAAATAACCCTGGCCAGTACTTTGATGGTTCATGTAAAGAAATATCAAGACAGGAAACTGTTGAAGCTTACCTTATAAAATCCTGGGTTTTTGAGGAAGCATATTAAAGCTCCATGACCACCCATGCTAAATAAAGACAACAAAACAAAGAAGTTTTCACCAGATAATAAAAATTGTATAAAAATGCTAACTAAAAAAAAAAAAAACCATTGTCTGGAATGGAGTAATATTCTTTTTTTTTTAACAGTTAATAACCCAGTCCATCAAAAAAACATGAAAAATACATATGAAATTGTAAAGGCATGAGCCAAGGATATTCTCAAAAAACAATCTACTTCTCTGAAAATTACTTTTATTTGATAAAGATGCTGCTTAGAAGAAGAACTCTTTTGCAAAAATGATGATAATCATTCTCTTTAAAGACTATCCATATATTGTACTTATTTTTTTTTGAACACCTTAAACTTTCCATAAGCATAAAATGCATTAATTTTGCCCTTTCCCACCCCCCCTTGAAATATGTAATGACTCTTAGGCATTCCCGAGAATAAAAAAATTTGCTGAAATATACAATAAAAATGATGATTCCAGTTACTGGGTTGCCATTCTGTGAAAAATATGTATCAAGTTAAGTTCACCTGTGGCCAAAAATGGACTGCTTGCCTGACAGAACAGGAAAGTTACTTTCAATCAAAGCTGGAAGCTGCAGATAAAATGAATTATACCACAATATTTAGCCAAAGGCTTCATGTCTGTAACCCAAAGTGGCCCAGCTAACAATGTTCATATCTCACTTTTGAAGCCTGGACTCACTGCAGTGAGTTATCATATAGAGAGTGTGTATGTCTGACATTGTTAACTCCCATGTTATATCTTATACCTGGGAATTGAATGAGATTGGCAATGAGAATTGTCACTGCCTCCACAACTCCCAATGAACCCTCAGATCCTGCACTAACCTCTTTTGTGATATATGAGTACATTCTGTAGTTTGTCTTCCACTTTTCCTCAGTTGCATCAATATAAAAACCAGCACCAGTTCCAAAATCATAACTATCATCTTCGCCTTCAATGCCACATGATCCTATGAAAATCAAGAGTTTCATGTTACTTGTCTGCCAACTCTGCTCATAGGAAAAAAAACACAGTTGCCAAAATTAGTATCTTCCTTTCACTCCCATGGCAAATGCTCCATAGAACTTATCTCTCCTCATTCAAATTAACCATCTTCCTCAAGTGCTGATCCCTACCTTGTCAAAAAGCTTTCACGGGGCATAACTCACAAACTAGTGTGCTAAAGCTTGCTTGATATAGCCTCTTACAATGAAATCAAACCTGCCCATGGTTCAATACCCCACAAGGACATAGGTTTTTCATCTTTGTCCTATGTTCATGACTCTGAAATGTTCAACATCTTTCTATCTCATTGTCAAACTTATAAATAGTAAACTTACGTGGGCTTGTGTCAGGAGCCACAATCAACACACCCAGTTCTGATGCGGTGCGTTGAGCACCAGCCTTTGTGATGAAGTTTTGCTCAGTGCATGTTAGACCTAAATTAGGTAAGAGCAAATGCGATGCCATAAAGAAAGCAAAATAACATTACTAGGCAATTAAGAGTTCTAACATTTTTTTTCGACATTGGTTTCTCATCTAGTAATAAGTCTGGTCTTCTATCTCAAATTATGGGTATTGTTGCAAATTGAGGGAGTTCAATCTTATAACAAAAAACTGTGTTTATGTGTTTTGTGATCAAACATCACACAATGAAGTAGCTATAATTCCTGATTAGGGTTTAGTTAACTGTTATAAAAATAACTACTTCTCTTTTTATACAGTGGTGATGGTAAGGCTTTTGAGTAGCTTACTAGCCAGATGACGCACCCTGTCAAAGCTTATCCA